TCCAACGGCAACCTACAATGAAGTTCGGGTTCGAACTTAACTTCAGCAACCCATGCTTGTCGTAAGAGGCGACTAGCGGGATCGGGTGGTTAGGCTCGCTAACTTGGATGACGTATGTCATCAATACCAATTGCGCAGATCGATGCTCATGATGTCTATCATCGGGTTGGTTGTCTGCTCCAGAATCGATGAGTTACGCCATATATAGCTGGAATATTGTTGAGGCCAGCGTTAAACAAACAAACAAACAAACATAAACCGCAGTAATATGTTAGTTTTCAATTATGAAAACATAAACGCAAAATATCAATCACGATCCTCTCTGACTGTGAGTTAGAACACATCAGACAATAACTTGATTTCTTTAAAAATCAATAAATTAAATTATAACATAATCCAGAGTCTAAATCCTATAAATCTCGGGGCACTGGAATTAACCAGTTGTTCACTCGTCACGCCCAAAGTTCACGTGCGATTTTTCACATGGATACAGCATTTATATGTACTCGCTAAAATCACCGCAACCGTGAAGATCCGGGATAGAATAGGTCTTCAGCAACCCACGCTTGCTTTAAAAGTCGACTCTGCTTGCCGTAAGAGGGGACCAACACGATCGGTGGTCAGGCTCGCTGACTTGGTTGATGCATGTCATCGTATCCCATTTTTGTAGATCGATGTCCATGACATCAGTCACTGGATTGTCTGGTCCAGACTCGATTATTGACGGACCGCCGCCATATAGCCGGGATATTGCTGAGTACGACAAACAAACAAACAAACAAACAAAACATAAAATCACAGGGTACCGCCTTTCGAGAAGCATGACGTACTATGGAGCTTCTTTGCTTCGCCTCTATACGTGTATACGTTAGGAATACAGAATACACAACAATTCAAAATTATATTAGCGTTCGCTTGTCACGCCGAAGACCCGGGTTCGATTTCCGACATGGGTACAATCTGTGAAGCCCATTTCTGGTGTCCCCCGCCGTGATATTGCTGGAATATTGCTAAAAGCGGCGTAAATCCGTACTCACTCACTCAAAATTGTATTACCGAAGAGCACGTTATTAATGCAAACACTACGAGAACCAACCATAAAACAAGGCAGTCACGACTCAATTTGTAGTTTGTGTTGACGTTATCGACGCGTTCCGCTTCCTCTGACGACAGGGAATTTACTTTTGAGCTGTAGTGTAATTTCTCTTCCGCCTGGGACTGTCCATATGATCATGGTGGTGTTAATTGGTTTCAGGTAAAAGTCAGTGGTTACAGTTCGTCCCAACATGACAGCCCCGAGTTACAACGAAACGAGTAAGTCTCGCGGTGGCGTGGACGGGCGCAGCTACACGATTCCCAACGACAGCGTGTGTGTCAGGACAAGGATCTGCGGCGAAAATATTGACTTGACATCTTTGTTGAAAGCCGTCATGGAGATCAAACAGATGGTCAGTGAAAACATGTCCTTTGTAGTTTATAAGCTGGACAGGTTAGAGATGTGTAAGGATGCAGAAATACACCATTTAAAGGACGCGGTAAGCCGGGCGGAGGACACTAACCGAATTCTCAATGAACAGTTGTATGCCTATCGTATCAATGAACAGAAGATGCGGTATGAAATAAAGCTACTGAAGAATGAAAACAAAGAACTGGGGACGAAGGTGACGAAATGCCAGTCTGAAGTCGCATCTGTGACTAATCAGTTCCGCAAATTAGACGTCATGACAGAAAAGATGGATCTGGTGCTTCAAAAAACATCCTCCTCATCAGCATCTGTATCCCTTAACAACATCGCAACCCAAACACCACCAGAGACAGCACAACTCAGTGAAAAGAATTTCACTCCTGAAACACCATCTGTCAGACACGGGGTAACTCGCACCTCACCCTCACAAGATTGTCCAGCTTCTGATGTTGGTAGATGTGCACGGACACAAAAGTCTACAATTGCTGATGAACCATCGCGCAATGATACACGAACGTTTAAATTTGGGAGTGTAGAAAATCACCACTCTCACCTAGTTGGGAATAAACTGAATATCAAAACACCAAACTCAGATGGAGAAAAGAACATAAAAACGGAACAATATGTGTTGTCCCGTCTCAAGGGACCTGCAGGCATTGATGGTGTAAATGCAGCAGTGACGCGATATGCCGCTGACAGAAGTGTAAGGGTGACACATGTACGACACATTAAGACCTGGCGTGGTAGGGCCGGGCGACAAACGTACACAGTGCTGATTGATGTAGCTTGTGATGATTCCCACAAAATACAGGACAAATTCTGGCCGGATGGTGTTTATTGTAGACTTTACATTCCCGAGGTAGAAATGACAACCAGGAACGGGGACAGAGCACGTGACAGGGATACAAAATAACTATAGGGTGCAAATTTAACGTAAGGCTCAAAGGATCCTGACACGCAGAAGGGATGCAACTCTTCACAGACAAATGAAGTGCCTTAAACGAATGGCCTGCAAATATGACGTTTTCATGAAAGGCCACAAGCTCAGATAAACTTTTTATTTGACAAGAAATATTAATTTTATTAGGTATTTTCTTGCATGACTTTCATGATCTTACTCTGAATACCATTGTGTCGTAGAATGAAAGTACATGTAGTTCCGACTCTAGAGAAATATTGATTTCGTGTTTGGATATATATATAATATTTCACCACTAAATACATAATTTTATTAAATGTGTTTAGGTCCTTACTCTTCAAGGTACTCCATGACTGTTTACACATTTTCCTTAACAATAATCTATATTTTATACAAAAAATACAGAAGTATTATTTGCCTGTTTAATGAACACTGTGGATCCAAGTGTGGGTGGGATGGCTTCCTGCAAGGATGCAGTTTAATAACAAGTAACTAAAACATTTACCCACCTGAACTAGAAATAAAGGCGACCAGTGAGGCCGCCTCATCTGTTTCATTACGGAAGCCTTTTAGGGCCATTTTTTAAATATTTTTTTTTACACTATCTTGAAATTTCAAGATACTAAGTTGAAATTTCAAGATACTATCTTGAAAGTCAGGATACTAAGTTTAAATTTCAAGATAGAGAAGTTGAAATTTAAAGATAGAGAAGTTGAAATTTCAAGATACTATCTTGAAATCTCAAGATACTAAGTTGAAATTTCAAGATACTTAGTTGAAATTTCAAGATACTTAGTTGCTATTTCAAGATTATTCACTTCAAACATATTTTTTACATCTAAGGATGTTAAAAACTTATCTTGAAATTTCAACTTAGTATCTTGAAATTTCAACTTAGTATCTTGAAATTTTAACTTAGTATCTCGAAATTTCAACTTAATATCTTGAAATTTCAACTTAGTATCTCGAAATTTCAACTTAATATCTTGAAATTTCAAGATAGTATCTTGAAATTTCAACTTAGTATCTTGAAATTTCAAGATAGTCTCGAAAAAACCCAAAAAAACAAATGGCCCTAAAAGGCTTCCGTAGTTTCATCTTTAGATCTTTGAATAAAGATGTTCAGAGTGACAAAACCCTATCCACAAGACTGTATGACAAGAGGGATGACTTCACATTTCCCTTCCCATGGGGGGTCGGGTAGCCTGGTGGTTAAAGCGTTCGCTCGTCACGCTGAAGACCCGGGTTCGATTCCCGACATGGGTACAATGTGTGATGCCCATTTCTGGTGTCCCCCGCCGCGATATTGCTGGAATATTGCTAAAAAAGCGGCGTAAAACCATACTCACTCGCTCACTCACTCACATGCTCATGATATAGTCGGAATCGTACGATTAATTGACTGCTTTTGGCAGAGATTTCTTATGAATATCGAAAATGTCACTTTTATTTATTGATATGTTCTCAAAGCAAACAGCACGATTAAAGGATGCATCTGGCATGCTGTATGTCACGTTAACCCTAGCTCCCGTTAAAAAAACCTGTTTACGAGCTTGAATAGTCCCTATTCACACAAGCACACTCCGCAAACACAGGCACAGACACTTATCATTAAATGGATCCTGCTTTTGTTCCGAATTTACCGACCTTGACCTTGACGATAACGCCACTATCTCGCCATATCGCTAGAAATGACAGGACGTATGGTGATTGTCGTTCTCACGGCTTTTTTGTGCAGTTCGTTAAGGATATGTAAGTACTTTTTATCTAACCATATTGCTGGTGCAGGGTAAGAAGACACCATGTCCATTTCAGCCCTCGTGATTTGCGTAATAATGATAAAAGACCACATGTTTAGAAAAGGTTATGCAAGTCATCACATGTGTGATTACTTCACCACGTTCGTGTGCAGGACTTATAACAACACCATGTAATGTTTAGTATTGCTAAACGATGTCACATATTCTCAATGGGCGGTCGGGTAGCCTCGTGGTTAAGCGTTCGCTTGTCACGCCGAAGACCCGGGTTCGATTTCCGACATGGGTACAATGTGTGAAGCCCATTTCTGGTGTCCCCCGCAGTGATATTGCTGCAATATTGCTAAAAGCGGCGTAAAACCATACTCACTCACTTACTCACTCACAAATTCTTATTTAAGAGCATTTAAGGAACATTCTGAAATAGCTATGACCCAAGCTGATTATCCACGAAGACGTAGATAAGGACAGTTCGGGCATATGGCATATATTTTCTCTTGAAGTTGGAAAAAACGCTCCTTTGCACTCGTTTTCATGCATTTGATCATACCAGGAGGAATTGAAAGTGTAATAAATAAATAAAGGCTTGTTGTCAGCCATTTGAAGAGGCCTGGTACTTTTTATACCAATTTTTCAAACTTTAAGTTTGTTTGTCTGTTTGTTTATTTGTTGTTTATCGTCGTATTTAGCAATATTACAGCTATACGACGGCGGTCAGTATATAATCGAGTTTGGACAATCAAGTGATTGACATCATGAGCATCGATCTTCGCAATTGGGATCAAACAAGTCAGCGAGTCTTACAACCCGATCACGTTAGTGGCCAAATGAGTAAATGAACTGGGCTTAACGCCACTTTGAATGTTAACTTTTCAGTTAATCATGGCTATGACAGAAGTTTACAGCACACGGAGACGTTTATGATAATTGGAAAATAAGGACAGAGTGATTTGGGATTCGAACATACGACGGACGTTCTGACACAACTCTGCACCATCTTCCCGAGGCAAGGGAGTTAACTGACTATAAAAGTCCAGTTCCCACCCTTGCCGAACTAGGCTGGTATTATGGAGTTACATTTTGGATGGACTAACGAGTCTTTGCATAGTCCAATCAAAATCGAGCAACGAAATCGAAATCCTGTTCGTAAACTGTCATGCAGATTTCGCCCGATTGAAAGATTTGCAAAACATGTGCACCGCCAACTCATTGTCACCCTATATTATCTAAATCTTTTCATGTCTTTAATCAAGGTGCTCACGTGATTTGATGCACTGCGTGATGTAAGACTCGTTTACACAATATAGATCTTGATTATCGATCAGATCGTCTTGACTTGGCGCCGCCATTTTGTTTGAAGAAATTCAAGTGATACGAGAGGTGAAATCTGATTGGTCCATAGGAGAGGCATGGAGGGGACTTAGCTCGTATTAGCCACTGGTGGCGCTACGATCGAGCCCAGGAATTCCAGCCTAGTTCAGCAAGGGTGGAAACTGGACTTTTAAAGTCAGTTAACTCCCTAGCCTCAGGAAGATGCTCTGCACGTGAAAATGGGCCAAGGTCAACTTGTAGATACCATTATTCATGCAATATAATAATACCCGGAGTTTCGGCACGATGATCAAACGGTTTATCCACTAGACTAACCACACTACCCATTAATGGATGCGGATACAATATGATAATATTGACTCTGACCTAGCTGATCCTGCCCCGACTAAGGGAGGCGATTCTGTGAAGAGAATTATGGCGCCTTACAGCATTGGGCAACCGGTGCTCTCTAACATGTAAGCTGGTTGGTTGGTTTGTTGTTTAACGCCGCACTCAGCAATATTCCAGCTACATGACGGCGGTCTGTAAATAATGGAGTCTGAACCAGACAACCCAGTGATTGACATCATGAGCATCAATCCACACAATTGGGATACGATGACATGCATCAACCAAGTCAGCGAGCCTGACCACCCGTTAGGCGTCTTTTACGGCAAGCCTGGGTTGCTGAAGACCTATTTTACCCCGGATCTTCACGGATTCTAACATGTAAGAGGGAGTGAGTTTGGTTTTACGCCGCTTTTAGCAATATTCCAGCAATATCAAGGCGGGGGACACCATAAATGGGCTTCACACAGCAGGGGGAATCGAACCCGGGTCTTCGGCGTGACGAGCGAACGCTTTAACCACTAGGCTACCCGGCCGCCCTTAACATGTAAGAACCATTGAATGTGTTAAATGAAAACATGTCACACAATGTTGAGTAAATGCGAAATTATTGATTTTTAGCGCATGCACAGACGGCGTCATGCGCAGAAATTGGGGGCAGATGTCTCCCGGACGCGTCAGACATCTTCTGTGACGGCACACGTGACTACAACAACCCGGGATGTCCCACAGGAAACTATTGTTGTGTACCTCTCAAGAACAGTAAGTTGTAATATAAATAGTATCCAACATGTATCCATTGCCGGGATTACGGATCAGAGTAAACCCCCAGTACCCCATTAGTTGAAAAAGAATTTTGGGGGAAATTATAGTGAAATTTCATTTACCGTCTTAATTACAACAATTGTCCGCAGGAAGACAGTTCTCTTACATTAAACTGATTCTGTTGATTGCGAAAGTGGGAAACAGCTGACTCATTATTTTTTTCATTATACTTTTTATGATATTTTAAAAGGACATCGATCATGTTTATTCAATAAAAGTTTCAGATTTTAGTATTTGCATTGAATTCACCTTTCTTTATCAACACGGGTGCATTCGGGAGCTAAATCTTACCAAAATTGTATATGATGGCGGCCATATTGACTTGTAGGTCACATGCATGACCACAAGGGGGTTAAATTAACTTGGGTCTATATAAAAAATATTTCTTACAGACAGAGCAATCATTACTCCAATTGGCATGTTAGTATCACATTTTGGCGATTTTCAGCAATATTCCTCAATAATTACCGATTATATACGTAATTATGATGATTATGATGATTATATACGTAATTATGTTGATAATGATGATTATATACGTAATTATGATGATTATGATGATTATATACGTAATTATGATGATTATGATGATTATATACGTAATTATGACGAGGGTCGGGTGGTTACAAAGTGTTACCTGGCAGACCGGGTGACACCTGCACTGTCGGCGTTGTTGGTCATGCCATCAATAGCATCCGTTGTGGATTTTGTTGTGATATCGCGATGAAATGTTCAAAATCGGTGTTCTGTGTTAAACTCCCCCGCATGAAAATGTGGTATTCGTCCATGCGGCTAAACATGTCGAATACGATATGCTTGGTTTGTGGAGAAAATACACAATTCAGTTTAAACAAGAACTGGAACGTATGGGCAATGTTTCTGTCCGTTGTGTCGTGACACTTTGCCAACGAATTCTGATCAGGCTGTTTGCCATGTGTTAATAAAGAGCGGCCCGTCTCTCGCTGGCAGATGTATGAACCTGATCTGGATGTTTGCCATGTGTTTGTAGAGAGCTGCTCGTCTCTCGCTGGCCGATGTATGTTTCTGATCTGGATGTTTGCCATGTGTTTGTAGAGAGCTGCTCATCTCTCGCTGGCCGATGTATGTTTCTGATCTGGATGTTTACCATGTGTTTGTAGAGAGCTGCTCATCTCTCGCTGGCCGATGTATGAACCTGATCTGGGTGTTTGCCATGTTTTAGTAGAGAGTTGCTCGTCTCTCGCTGGCCGATGTATGAACCTGATCTGGGTGTTTGCCATGTTTTAGTAGAGAGCTGCTCATCTCTCGCTGGCCGATGTATGAACCTGATCTGGGTGTTTGCCATGTTTTAGTAGAGAGCTGCTCATCTCTCGCTGGCCGATGTATGAACCTGATCTTGATGTTTGCCATGTGTTTGTAGAGAGCTGCTCGTCTCTCGCTGGCCGATGTATGAACCTGATCTGGATGTTTACCATGTGTTTGTAGAGAGCTGCTCGTCTCTCGCTGGCCGATGTATGAACCTGATCTGGGTGTTTGCCATGTGTTAGTAGAGAGCTGCTCGTCTCTCGCTGGCCGATGTATGAACCTGATCTGGATGTTTACCATGTGTTTGTAGAGAGCTGCTCATCTCTCGCTGACGATGTATGAATCTGATCTGGATGTTTGCCATGTGTTTGTAGAGAGCTGCTTGTCTCTCGCTGGCCGATGTATGACCTGATCTGGATGTTTACCATGTGTTTGTAGAGAGCTGCTCGTCCCTCGCTGGCCAATATATGAACCTGATCTGGATGTTAACCATGTGTTTGTAGAGAACTGCTTGTCTCTCGCTGGCCGATGTATGAACCTGATCTGGATGTTTACCATGTGTTTGTAGAGAGCTGCTCGTCTCTCGCTGGCCGATGTATGAACCTGATCTGGATGTTTACCATGTGTTTGTAGAGAGCTGCTCGTCTCTCGCTGGCCGATGTAAGAACCTGATCTGGGTGTTTGCCATGTGTTTGTAGAGAGCTGCTCGTCTCTCGCTGGCCGATGTATGAACCTGATCTGGATGTTTACCATATGTTTGTAGAGAGCTGCTTGTCTCTCGCTGGCAGATGTATGAACCTGATCTTGGTGTTTGCCATGTGTTAGTAGAGAGCTGCTCGTCTCTCGCTGGCCGATGTATGAACCTGATCTGGGTGTTTACCATGTGTTTGTAGAGAGCTGCTCATCTCTCGCTGACGATGTATGAATCTGATCTGGATGTTTGCCATGTGTTTGTAGAGAGCTGCTCGTCTCTCGCTGGCCGATGTATGAACCTGATCTGGATGTTTGCCATAGGTTAGTAGAGAGCTGCTCGTCTCTCTCTGACCGATGTATATTTCTGATCTGGATGTTTGCCATAGGTTAGTAGAGAGCTGCTCGTCCTTGGCTTGCCGATGGATCAATCTGATCCGGGTGTTTGCCATGTGTTTGTAGAGAGCTGCTCGTCTCTCGCTGGCCGATGTATGAACCTGATCTGGATGTTTACCATGTGTTTGTAGAGAGCTGCTCGTCTCTCGCTGGCCGATGTATGATCTGATCAGGCTGTTTGCCATGTGTTTGTAGAGAGCTGCTCGTCTCTCGCTGGCCGATGTATGAACCTGATCTGGGTGTTTGCCATGTGTTTGTAGAGAGCTGCTCGTCTCTAGCTGGCCGATGTATATTTCTGATCTGGATGTTTGCCATGTGTTAGTAGAGAGCTTCTCGTCCTTGGCTTGCCGATGTATCAACCTGATCTGGTGTTTGCCATGTGTTTGTACTTTGTAGAGAGCTGTTCGTCTCTCTCTGACCGATGTATATTTCTGATCTGGATGTTTGCCATAGGTTAGTAGAGAGCTGCTCGTCCTTGGCTTGCCGATGGATCAATCTGATCCGGGTGTTTGCCAGGTGTTTGTAGAGAGCTGCTCGTCTCTCGCTGGCCGATGTATGAACCTGATCTGGATGTTAACCATGTGTTTGTAGAGAGCTGCTCGTCTCTCGCTGGCCGATGTATGATCTGATCAGGCTGTTTGCCATGTGTTAGTAGAGAGCTGCTCGTCCCTCGCTGGCCGATGTATGAACCTAATCTGGATGTTTACCATGTGTTTGTAGAGAGCTGCTCGTCTCTCGCTGGCCGATGTATGAACCTGATCTGGATGTTTGCCATGTGTTAGTAGAGAGCTGTTCGTCCCTCGCTGGCCGATGTATGAACCTAATCTGGATCATTGACATGTGTTTGTAGAGAGCTGCTCGTCCCTCGCTGGCCGATGTATGATCTGATCTGGATGTTTGCCATGTGTTTGTAGAGAGCTGCTCGTCTCTAGCTGGCCGATGTATATTTCTGATCTGGATGTTTGCCATGTGTAAGTAGAGAGCTGCTCGTCCTTGGCTTGCCGATGTATCAACCTGATCTGGTGTTTGCCATGTGTTTGTACTTTGTAGAGAGCTGTTCGTCTCTCTCTGACCGATGTATATTTCTGATCTGGATGTTTGCCATAGGTTAGTAGAGAGCTGCTCGTCCTTGGCTTGCCGATGGATCAATCTGATCCGGGTGTTTGCCAGGTGTTTGTAGAGAGCTGCTCGTCTCTCGCTCGCCGATGTATGAACCTGATCTGGATGTTAACCATGTGTTTGTAGAGAGCTGCTCGTCTCTCGCTGGCCGATGTATGATCTGATCAGGCTGTTTGCCATGTGTTAGTAGAGAGCTGCTCGTCCCTCGCTGGCCGATGTATGAACCTAATCTGGATGTTTACCATGTGTTTGTAGAGAGCTGCTCGTCTCTCGCTGGCCGATGTATGAACCTGATCTGGATGTTTGCCATGTGTTAGTAGAGAGCTGTTCGTCCCTCGCTGGCCGATGTATGAACCTAATCTGGATGTTTGACATGTGTTTGTAGAGAGCTGCTCGTCCCTCGCTGGCCGATGTATGATCTGATCTGGATGTTTGCCATGTGTTTGTAGAGAGCTGCTCGTCTCTCGCTGGCCGATGTATGAACCTGATCTGGGTGTTTGCCATGTGTTAGTAGAGAGCTGCTCGTCTCTCGCTGGCCGATGTATGAACCTGATCTGGGTGTTTGCCATGTGTTAGTAGAGAGCTGCTCGTCTCTCGCTGGCCGATGTATGAACCTAATCTGGGTGTTTGCCATGTGTTTGTAGAGAGCTCCTCGTCTCTCGCTGGCCGATGTATGAACCTGATCTGGGTGTTTGCCATGTGTTTGTACTTTGTAGAGAGCTGTTCGTCTCTCTCTGGCCGATGTATATTTCTGATCTGGATGTTTGCCATGTGTTACTAGAGAGCTGCTCGTCCTTGGCTTGCCGATGGATCAATCTGATCTGGGTGTTTGCCATGTGTTTGTAGAGAGCTGCTCGTCCCTCGCTGGCCGATGTATGATCTGATCTGGATGTTTGCCATGTGTTTGTAGAGAGCTGCTCGTCTCTCGCTGGCCGATGTATGAACCTAATCTGGATGTTTGCCATGTGTTTGTAGAGAGCTGCTCGTCCCTCGCTGGCCGATGTATGAACCTAATCTGGATGTTTGCCATGTGTTTGTAGAGAGCTGTTCGTCTCTCGCTGGCCGATGTATGAACCTAATCTGGATGTTTGCCATGTGTTTGTAGAGAGCTGTTCGCCTCTCGCTGGTCGATGTATGAACCTGATCTGGATGTTTGCCATGTGTTTGTAGAGAGCTGTTCGTCTCTCGCTGGTCGATGTATGATCTGATCTGGATGTTTACCATGTGTTAGTAGAGAGCTGCTCGTCTCTCGCTGGCCGATGTATGACCTGATCTGGATGTTTACCATGTGTTTGTAGAGAGCTGCTCGTCTCTCGCTGGCCGATGTATGATCTGATCTGGATGTTTACCATGTGTTTGTAGAGAGCTGCTCGTCCCTCGCTGGCCGATGTATGATCTGATCTGGATGTTTACCATGTGTTTGTAGAGAGCTGCTCGTCTCTCGCTGG